CAGGTCTGGTGTCACTGGCTGCTGCTTAGTCTCTCTCCATGTTAAGTTGTTGCTTCCTCACAGTAAAGAAAGACTTTGTCCTGAGACATCTCTGTCTGGCAAGTAAAAAATGCTTCTCCCTTACAAATGAGAGAGAAAATAAGATTTTATGTGCACATGGTCTATGAGAATTGACATTATCCTTTTCTCTGAAATGGAATGAAAAAAAAGGATTAGATATGTGGTCCCTGTAAATATCATCTGAAGTGTATTTATACGGACTTTCAGGATGCTTTACACTAAAGGGTGTTGCTTGAGAAAGAAAACGGGGACTTCGCTGGTTGCTTACAAAGCACCATGTCCCTGGGCTCAGTTTTTTCTTTTGAGTGTTTTCTTCCACTCTCGTGCTTTTGAGTTTTTGCTAGTTGTTTTTTCCCCCTCAGGGTAGTCTTTGTTCTTATGCACTGTTCGTTAGTATTGTCTGGATGTAATCATAAACAATGCTATACTTCCTAATGGGATTCTGGAGCCCTAATCTGAGGGATGGATAATACAAGCCTGCTTCGTTTAACTTATACAGTCCACTTTCCGGGGAGAGCAAGTTTTAAAATGCCAGTAGGCCTAACATATTGTATTTGCTTCTGATTGCAGCACTTTACTTGGCTTCATATGAAAGTGAAAGTCCCGAGAATCACATTGAGAAGGACAGATGGAAGACACTAAGGTTTGTGTCAGAGGTTACCCGCATGAATAAATGAAGAGAATGGGATACAGAGCAAGCATCAAACAGTTAAAACCAAACAGCATGCTACATGTTTCAACAGATGGTGCACAGCATCAGTGTAAATCCCCCCTCCAATGTGAGACTCTTGGAAAAAAGGGAACAGTCAGTCTTTATCTTAAACCCTCTCAAGCCTTCTCTCTCTTAGGGTATGGGAATTAGAATAAGTAATTTTGTGTCTTAATTTCTTGTGTTATTCAGTGTAGGAAAAAATACTTTCTAAACTTCAAAGGAATCTCTACTTCCTCACAAGTACTATACGGAGCACTCTGGTTTCCAAGCAGATGTTTCTGCAGCTGTTGCATCCCTTTATGCATCTAGCCTTTCAGACAGGGATGGGGTTTGCACAGAGATCATTCTGGGGCAAATGCATTCATGAAACCAGGTAACAATTTAGAGTCCAGGCTGGGAAAAATGAATTTAAGCAACATCCTATTTTTGGCTTTTATTCTACTGCTGGTTGAACATAGCCTCATCAACTCTTTCATTTTACTAGTTGTGGAAGGATATATGAACCATTATGGCTTGTGCTTTGCCGCTCAAATTTTTTTTTTTTAAGTTGAAATCACGGCAGCAGCGAAAACTAATCAGGTGCATAGGTGGAGACACAGAATTAAGCAGGCATATAAATAGTCTGTGTTTTCACCCCTAAGCCATACTTCAGTCTTAGAACTACCAATATCCCAAGGAACTGACCATTAGTCAGGTGTTCTTGTCACTGCTGCAGGCAGCTGGTACATTCACACCTAGAGGTACCCATGGATATACCCATCCCAACTCTTCTGATCCACTCTGCAGCACCGCAGAGAGACAACCGTACACCACAACCCTAAGGATTCTCCTCAGGCTGTGTTGGTCTTTCCTGGGATATCACAAGGGGATGTAACAGTTCCATCTGATTAATCCCAGTTATTTTGGGGAGAGGACAGGAAGGGAGAGTTACTCACATTAGTGCACAGACAGTCTGCATTACACAGGGTGGCAAGATGGACAGGCAAAGACTCTGAGCTTGAAAATCTGTGACAACACAAACCTCGGTTTCACAGGATCCTTATTTGAGGCACTCTGAAGCTGCCTGAGAAGATTTACATCATTCTAATGATTGTCTTTACTTATTTACATTTTCCTCTTCCTTTCAGGTCAGCGCTTCTGGGCAGAGTCTAGTGCACAAGATGGCTGCTGTTTGTGCCATTGCTACATTATGTGGGTTACCAAGGGGCATGGCTTGGTTTATTTTTCTGTACACCGAGTGGCATTCAAAGTAATGGAAAATGTACAGTCAGTTGTGATATTGTGTCAGCAAAGATGAAACAAGTTAACTCAAGAACAAACAGGCAGCTTCTCACATCTGACAGATGAAATAAAATCACAGTCCACTCGGCTGTGATTCAGGCTTAAGTATTGATTGAGGACAGTGCTGACAAAATCCTTTGAAGAGCTCAGATGCCACCTATGAATCATTTCACACCTGGATGGAATATTTTTCTCCCTCCTTTTGCTGCAGCTTGCTGCTACAAGGACTCTGCAGAGGTGATAGTAGGTTACGGCGGGGAAATAATCACCATTCCTTTCAGTGAAACCCAAGTCTGCATTGAAGAACTTCCATTCCTAATAAGCTGAATATAGCCAGGAACTTTGCCTGGTTGGGACTGCTAAGAAGGGAAAGGACTGGACACAACAAATTGGCTGCTGGGGAGAGTTTCTCCCCACCATTGTAATGGTGGCTGTGGTTTTGGGTTTTTTTTTCATTATGTTTTTGAGTTGGCTGCTGGTAGGCAAACTCATTATTATTCTAAGTTATTTAAAAAATATAAAGTAATAAAAATCAAGGCTGTGGTAGAAAACACACCTGCTACAAAAATTTAGTAGCTATGTATCTTGGACTATTTTACAACTTCTAGGGAGGTTTTTCTTTCTTTCAGTTGTTCACAACTAACCACTGTATGCTGCAGACATTCTTATTTTTATTATACAGTTTTGTGACTCTAATTTTCCATACTTGACCTTCTTCTTATATTAGGTTGAACAAGCTGACTTTTCTATAATAGTCTTTGAGAAACTGGTGTACAAACTGCATTGAAATATGAAAGTATGTTTTTATTAAGGCATTTTTATAATTTCTTTTTTTTTTTAAAGAGTAACAATGGAGAACACAATCCACTTTGACTGAAATAGCAAGATGCCAAAAAGAAAAAAAGATGAGGCTTCTTTTCAACTACAGCTGTGAAAAAAAACATTCTCCCTGTGTGTTTGCTTTATGGATTATGTTTATGAATGTGAAGTAGTTCACTGTGTTACACACCTAATAAGTTTGTAGTAGCTCTGAATACTTAGTCACTCCATTTATCCTAGGAAGAACCCAATGGAAAAAAAAGAAACTGTAGCTGTAGATCACCCTGGATGCAAAATTACTAAGCGAAAGCACATACTGGCACAAAAGGTATTTGCAATTATCTTGCCACTGTTATTTAAAAAAGAAAAGAAATAAGAATAAATATATCCATTTGTTGCACTGCATCTCTTGAGTTTTCAAGTAAGCTGTTTCTTCTGTTCTGTCCATGCCTTTTCAGGCAAGTATTTAATATTTTAATTCTGTTAAGAACATGCTGAAGTAGCCTTCATCAACAGGGATACTGTCCTTAACTACAGCCTATTTGCTGGTACAAGGTGCTGAGTTACATATTCCATGAGCACCAGCATGAGGGCCTCAAGCCCTGACAGTGGAGGAGGATTCCTCTCCTCCTCTCCCATTCACTGAGTTAGGGTGAAGGAGAAAGAAGAGGCTAACTCTCTGAAAGGAGGAGACTGCTTCTGCAGTTCACAGGCTTACCTCCCAGCTTTCATCAAGTGAGGTCTTTTCCATCTTCCCCTCTACATCCTTCCCCCATTGTTGCGGCTTATAGGCAGGACTTAGTTTATGTAAAAAACTGAGGAAAATTGTGTATTCCTTTTCCACATCTTCTGGAAGTAGGATGATATGATAATAAGGTACATAAATGAGCTTCCATCACGCAATATTTGCTATCCTCATTAACCTGCTTTTTTACATTTTTAATTCTAGGGAAAGCCAGAGGTTGAACAAAGGGTTAGCTTACCTGTAAAAAATAATCTCTCCTTCCCTCCTCCACTGTAACAGTTTGACTACTAGCCTGGTTTAGAAATGAATTTGTTATTTATGCAGTTGGAATGAAGCCTTTGTAAATAAAAGGAGAAACAGCATTATGCAGTGTCCATCCAGAGTGCGGGCTCTGTGTGTTGTCTTGTGGGCCAGCTTCTGGCTGAGAAGAGGCAGCACACACCAGAGTGATTGCTATGGAGGCGGCGGCTGCTGCCTTGGCACAGAAGCTGGGCAGCAGGTGCAGGAGCCTGTGACTGGTGCTTGAAAGAGGAATGCAAATTCCCCAGCCCCGGGCAAGCCAGAGGCTGCTCCTGTAGGCATTAATGAACTTGATGTTTGATGTTGGAGCAATACGAGTCTCATTGTGCACTGTACCCTCTGCTCCATCATTCGGTGCAGCCACTGTGCTGAGCTTTAATTTTGAACATCCTGAGCTACTGTCAGACTGTTGAACCATTGGCTTGGAAACAGCCGTTCACACCTGTTTGTAGCAAATGAGAGAGAAAATGACTTACTCTTCTATGGCTAACCAGCTCCTAAAGGAAACATCACAAACTCTCTGAAAGGAGGACTTACAAGAACTCGTTAACTCAGTTGAGTGTTCAGCCAGGACTGAAAATCCCAGCTCAGTGCTGACAGATGCTCAGTGCGTAACGGGGACAGAAGCAACATTGAAGTCTCCTGTATAAATGGCTCAAACATTACTTATTTCTTTGTGATGTACTTTCTTCTTGTGGTGAAGAGACAAAAACTGTGGGTCTTATGGACCCATAAGAACCAGCTTGTTCAAAAGAGTAGAGAAGTCTGGCTAAGCCCACAAGAGCAATACCTGTCTTTATCATCCAAATATTTCCCTTTTCTCCTACTTGGATACAGCTTCATAGTATCATCATTAAAAGAACAGTCAGTTGCATGCAATAATGTGCAAAAGCCTATTTACAACTGTCATCTCTACAAGAGCAAGCAAGAACCTATAGCTCCCCGTGTTTTTGGGGGGTTTGTGGTTTGTTTGGGGTTTTTTTTTTCAGCCTTTCTCACAGCCTGTTCTTGACAGAGCTGAAACGGGTAGTTGATCTAGCACTAAAAAGAACTTTTTTTGATAATAAGCAAAATGTCATTCATTTTCCAAGACTTCATTCTTCTGGGGAATTTTCCCTGTCACTTTGGGTGGCTTTTCTTGTATTAGTTGTGTGCAGCAGAACCCCTTGTGAGCTTCTTCCAGTATTTCTGCTGGAAAAGAACAATCCTTTGGTAGTGCACCAGTGTCTGCTTTTTCTTTCAGCTCCTCTCTGTCCTCTTGGTCATGCTGAGCAGATTTTCCCCACATAAAGGGAGAGGCTAATCCCTAGAGATGCATTCCCTCACAGCTGCATCTGTCCTGCTGCTGTCAGTCAGATCCAGATAGCCTGCTTCTGTCAAGCAACTGTGTCCTAACCTGTGCTTTATGGTCATAGGATCCTGTGTCATCAGCTGTTTTTTAGCTTGAGAACGCAGCTGGTAAGGATTTTCAAGAGAACTAGTCTATTTACAAGGTTACTGTTGTTAGGTATCTGCTAAGCTGACACTTCAGACTCAAAATCGATAAAGTTCAGTGAGTAGTTTAGAAGTGAGAGTTTAGTGTCAGAAAGTATCATTTGATACCAACAGACACTTCACCATTATTCCACTGTGCTGCATTAAGCTCTTCTGGAATATGTTTTTTTCTTTCTCCTTTATTAGAAAACTTTAGCTGTAGTATGACCCAAAAGGATGTATCGTTATAAGCCAAGTAAATATACTGTCCTTCTTTCATGGAGATTACTTTTCAGGAAGAAGAATGTAAAATGTGAATAAAGCAGCTGTCTTTCATCAGTTATTTATGTAGCCAAAGCAATCTGAGTGCCAATGACACTGTGAGGCAGGATTTTCTGCTTTCTGTTAGTGCTTTACTCCCGTACCCTGTGAAATCCAGAGGTTGGAAGGGGAAGTTGTTCTTAGGTGGACTTCTAGCTGCAGTGGAAAGCAGCATCTGGAGCCAGTCCATTCCAGAGAGCGACAAACAAACAAACAAAACAAAGCATCTGTCTGGGTGTTACAGAATTCTCTCTAAGCCCCAAACTTTGGTCTAGTGGTCAAAAGATGAAATAATAGGAAAGATGAAAGAACCAGTAAGCCATAAACCAGTGCAGGGAGCAGAAATAAACACCGGGGGGGGAGAAAAAGAGTCCCTTGGCCTTTCAACTGCTTTTCTTTATTGTCTGATAACTCAATAGCATTTACATTTGGGATGCCTCACTGCTTTTTAAATGTGTTTTTCCTGTGAGAAAAGTGTATATAGAAGACCATCACAAAGAGCTGTGGTTGAAAGTTCAACATTGGTGATTCAGAACAGAATGAATAATGTGGGCAAAGAAGCCCATCTTGTTGTCAATCAAACAGATCAACCCCGTTTGTATGAATGATCCATCTATTGATAATGCAGCCTCTAACAACAGAATTGTGTTTTGAAGCTACCGTGGGAAGCATTAAAGCAACCACCTTGATACTTTGTTTTCTATTTAACCATAAAGGTACTAACATATTTGGACAGCCAACATTCCTGGGCAGAGCCTTTTTTTTCTCTTTGTGTGTGCGACTGTGGTAGAGGGTTTACTATTTCTCTAGTAATAGAGAAACACACTAACATTTTCTTTACTGTGTCTTTCAGAACTGGGCCATCTTCCACATTTCTAATCTTGCCAACCTACTCAAAATTGAAAGTATGAAAACAAGACAGAACATGTGAGAAACTGTGCTTCTTGCTGATTTTAACATATACAGGAGGACTGTTTTTACTAGAGGTTGGTAGAAAGTTAGAAATAATTAGGGCTGGGAGCAAGTCAGTCGTTTCAGAAGGAGTTACACTTTCCTTAGACCTCCTCTTCCACGGGCAGTTCAGACAGTTGCAGTTCTGCTTTTCCATAAAAGAAGTTAAAGGAAGATCTATGGAGCAATAGAAAAGAGGATATGGTAGGCAATGAATTGGCATCCCTTTTCTGAGACACACATCACCTAATTGTGGCCAGTGGTATTGAATAGAAGTGCAAGCAAGCAAAGTTTACATTACAATAGTTTGTTTGACATG